GAAGGCTGCAGTCCTTGACCTTCTGCAGCAAGTGCTTCAGGTTCTCCTCAGTTTTAGCAAGCAGGGTTTTATGTATCATCTGCATAACACAGGTTGCTGATGAATCTTCCTCCAATCCTGATGCCACATTTCATAAGAGCCCAGCCTTCCAGATGATCTGGTCTGTATATGGACTGAAAAGGTACGGAGACAGAATACATCTTTGGCGTACACCCTTCTCAATTTTGAACCACGCAATGTCTCCTTGCTCTGTTTTGATGACTATCGCTGGTCCAAGTATAGGTTTCACATAAGCACAAATATTCTGGGATTCCCATTCTTCTCAGAGTTACACAGATTGTTGGGACCCGCAGACTTATTTAAAAAAAAAAAAAAAAGGTGGACACTGCACCATTTCAGGACACAGCATATGATCAGCATATGATTCAGGGAATTCTGGTGGTAATAAACTGTGCTACAATCCCAAAGGCACACAGTTTGAATTTACCAGTTGCTCCATGGGAGAAGGATGGACACTCTCCTCCCATGCAATTTGCTGCCTATGAAAACCTGCTGAAAGGTCAACTATGGGTCAGTTCTACCTCAACAGCATACATCAACAAGAAGTATATGGCCAAGAAACAATGGTTCTGAAGGAAGAAGCCCAAAGTGTGCTGAGCACTAGTAAAATATAAGGCTCCAAGAATTTATGGCCTACCAAATGAAGTGTTTCAGCTAACTGATGCAGCCCTGGATATGCTTAGTTGAATGCCAAGAAATCTGAAAGACCGCTACCTGGCCAACCGAGTCGTAGCTGACTAGACAGCATCAAACAGCAACTGTTTAAATCTTAGAGGGGCCTAGTCATCTGGTTCACCTTCTGCTGTTTGCGTGTTCTGGGTTATGGCTGAGAGTACAGTTACGCCATGTGTTAGGGCCCCTACGGCTGTCCCTATGCTTTCTTTAATAATCTTTACAATTTTAAGTTTTATATTTAAGTCTTCGATTTACCTTAAGTTCATTTGTTACACAGTATGAGATATACATCTTAAAAAACTTCTACAAATATTCTAAAATACGACAAAGCTCCACATGAGAAAATAATCAGCAGCTAGTTTTAAGAGTGGTAACAATCTAAATGTTTTAAAGATAGAGATGGGAAAAGTGAACGACAGCACTCCACTTGCTCTCTTATTATATAATCACTAAAATAATTACATAAATTAGATAAATGCATCAGAAATTCTTAAAATCATTTTTACACTATGTTGGCTTACCAGTAATCTTGTGCAAAACAAAAACCTACCACAATGAGGCCAATCACATAAGAAAGTTCAGACAATAATTAGAAGGTTAACTAGAAAGAAAAATAATTTGCTTTGTTGTAAAACATTTTTCTTAAAATGAAACCTTTTTCATTTTAATTAGTGTTATAAGAAATAATCCTTAAAAATATATGATCGTAACCTTAGACTATTTCCTAATTATATCCTAACAATAAAACTATAAAGACAAACTACATTACCTCACCCCAGCAATAATAGCAAAGTTCAACAGGGCACCAAACAGCAAATGTTGGTGAGGCTGTGGAGAGACTGGAACTCTTTTTCACTGCTTGTGGGGATATAAAATAGTAAAACCACTATGGAAGGTGGCCTGATACTTTCTCAAAAAGTTGGAGTAGAAATATCATGAGACCCTGCAATTCCACCACTGGGGCATATGTTGTTGTTGTTATGTGCCATTGAGTCACCTGCAACTCATGGTGACCCTATGTACAACAGCCCTAAACTCTGCTCTGTCCTGTGCCAAACGCACTGTCTCCGATACACCCATCCCAATTACCCCAGTCACTGACTCAATCCATCTCCTAGAGGGCCTTCCCCTCCTGTGCCTGCCCTCCCCTCTCACAAGCATGATGTCCTTCTCCAAGGACCGGTCTCTCCTTACAACATGACCAAAGTATG